CGGCACCATAAAGTGTGTGCCGGTGCATATACAGCTGCACGGTCCGTGTCCTAAGACGTCAGCAGCTGTCCTGACACTTGTCCTGGATAATATGGAGCGTGCCCAGGTTTCATCAACCATTAACACTTGCGAAACCTGCATATTTTTTCAACAATAATGGCGGCTTTGTTTACTCTTATTAAATAGTTTGAGCTTCGAAACTTTACAACCCAAGGTTATAATTGTTATAAATAACCTCGTATCGATTTGGAACTCAAAGTGTTTAATAAATGTAACTAAAGCTGCAGGGATTGTTGAAAGAGGTAAAGGTTTCGCAAGAGGATGCGTAAATGCTTGGCGACTCCTTAGGTCCAGGCCCATGGGTTACCCATACAATAATGAGCTGCATCGTGTCCTGGTGACACAACAGGTCAGGCAGATGACCCCTGACCTGGAAGGCGGCGTTGGTGCGAAGAGCATGTGGTGCTCCCACATGCTCTACAAGGCGGGAGAGCCTTATAGAGCATGCGGGCGCCACATTCCTAGCGGATAATGAAGCCAGGAGGCGCGGGCCGGCGCATGCCCCCAGCGTAATGGCGCCATCACTCACTCACCAGAGGTTGAGAGCAGCGCGCCTCCCACGGCGGCCACCTCCTCTAACGGAGCGGGCAGAGGCCTGGTGTCTGCCTGCGCGGCGCCAAACATGCATTCTCCAGTCAATGGGTCACCATTAATGGTCAAAGTGACGTCAGCTGCGGTGTTTGGGTGCCCCGGGAGAGTCCAGGGGTGTCGCCAGTTACAGCCATCATGGCCGGCCAGACGCTTTCAAGACCACTCGCTAGTCTAATGCCAGACTTCATTATGTATTTTTTTTAGGATAAAATTATAATTAGCATTTGCTATTTTTAATTTATTATTATTATTATTATTATTATTATTATTATTATTATTATTTCTATTTCCCGCCATGAATATCATGAACACCCACCGTGAACACCCACCGTGAACACCCACCATGAACATCCACTTCTGCACCTGTGGCTGGGGTGCCCATTTTCCCCTCCACCTGTGGCTGTGGCGTCCCTCCACTCCTCCACCTGTGGCTGTGGCGTCCATCCTCCACTCCACCTGTGGCCGGGGTGCCCATGATTCCTCCACATATAGCTGCAGTGTGCAAGGACTCTCCTCCTGTGGGCGCGAGAAGAACATGCAAGCCAGGGAAGGCGTAAAGGTAAAACTAGCCAGAAGTGACCAACTCCACATTAAACTCTTGAAGCAAGTAGAAGACCTGAAGGATATAAATTTTAAAAGGAAGGTATATGTGAATGGGTTACAAAACAGAATATAAGTGGAAAGCAGGGCAGCAAACGAAATGAGTAGGATAGCAAAGGAGAGAATCAAACAAATTCGCCTACCTGCCAAAGCCGCAAACGTCAAAACTGTTAGGCTTTAAAATCCACCTGAAGAGAATCAAGGCAAATGGGGGAGAACTTCAACAAGCCACCGACTTCCTGTCCTCGTTGAGGTCACTAGTTTTAGTGGCCTTCAGGTAAATCAGGTAATAGAGAATATAAGTAAGGTATGGGGAGCAAGATACGACCAAATATTTGCTGAAGTAGCAAAAGATTCGGAGGGAAAGAAAATAATTAAGGTAACCGTGTCAGAGTCTGAACTAACTCCTCAAGTCATAAAATGTACAAGAAAGTAGTTGGAGAGGTTGAAAGATCAGTGGTAACGTTCAACCTGCCAGAGCCAGAGACACGTGCCAAATGAGAAAGACGAAAATGACGATAAAAATTCTACAGAGAATTCAGGCCCGAGATGTTACAATGGAGATGGAGCCAGAGTGCATGGAAGCTGGAAACGTAAATGAATCAAAGAACTGTATGCGAATACTCGTACCTTGTAAGGATGGTCAACCAGTAGAATACACTGAGAGAATTTGTGGAAGCCACCTAGCTCTTTCCACAACTTTAACGCCAGATTCGATAAAGAATTCGAACATTGGACATAATTATAACGCAAGATGTACAAGGTTATTAGACAGAGCATAAAGAGTTAGATCTCGCTTTTCTGAAGACACTGATATGTAAGTACCCACGCCCCTCCTGTTGATAGGGTGCCCACGCCCACACACCTCCTGTGACTGGGGTGAACCACGCCCACACACCTCTTGTGACTGGGGTGAACCACGCCCACACACCTCTTGGGCTGAGTGCCCACGCCCACACACCTCTTGGGCTGAGTGCCCACGCCCACACCTCCTGTGGCTGGGTGCCCACGCCTACACACCTCCTGTGACTGGGGTGAACCACGCCCACACACCTCTTGGGCTGAGTGCCCACGCCCACACCTCCTGTGGCTGGGTGCCCACGCCCACACCTCTTGTGACTGGGTGCCCACGCCCACACCTCCTGTGACTGGATGCCCACGCCCACACCTCCTGCGGCTGGGTGCCCACACCTCCTGTGGCTGGGTGCCCACACCTCCTGTGGCTGGGTGCCCACACCTCCTGTGGCTGGGTGCCCACACCTCCTGTGGCTGGGTGCCCACACCCACACCTCCTGTGGCTGGGTGCCCACACCTCCTGTGACTGGGTGCCCACACCCACACCTCCTGTGACTGGGTGCCCACACCCACACCTCCTGTGGCTGGGTGCCCACGCCCACACCTGTGGCTGGGTGCCCACGCCCACACACCTCCTGTGGCTGGGTGCCCACGCCCACACACCTCCTGTGGCTGGGTGCCCACGCCCACACCTCCTGTGGCTGGGTGCCCACGCCAACACCTCCTGTGGCTGGGTGCCCACGCCCACACCTCCTGTGACGGGTGCCCACACCTGTGACTGGGTGCCCACACCCACACCTCCTGTGACTGGGTGCCCACGCCCACACCTCCTGTGGCTGGGAGCCCACGCCCACACCTCCTGTGGCTGGGTGCCCACGCCCACACACCTCCTGTGGCTGGGTACCCACGCCCACACACCTGCTGTGGCTGGGTGCTCACGTCCACACCTCCTGTGGCTGGGTGCCCACGCCCACACCTCCTGTGGCTGGGTGCTCACGCCCACACCTCCTGTGACTGGGTGCCCACGCCCACACACCTGTGACTGGGGTGAACCACGCCCACGCACATCTTGGGCTGGGTGCCCACGCCCACGCCTCCTGTGGCTGGGTGCCCACGCCCACGCCTCCTGTGGCTGGGTGCCCACGCCTCCTGTGGCTGGGTGCCCACGCCCACACCTCCTGTGACTGGGTGCCCACGCCCACACACCTCCTGTGGCTGGGTGCCCACGCCCACACACCTCCTGTGGCTGGGTGCCCACGCCCACACACCTCCTGTGGCTGGGTGCCCACGCCCACACACCTCCTGTGGCTGGGTGCCCACGCCCACACACCTCCTGTGACTGGGTGCCCACGCCTCCTGTGGCTGGGTGTCCACGCCCACACACCTCCTGTGGCTGGGTGCCCACGCCCACACCTCCTGTGACTGGGTGCTCACGCCCACACCTCCTGTGACTGGGTGCCCACGCCCACACACCTGTGACTGGCGTGAACCACGCCCACGCACATCTTGGGCTGGGTGCCCACGCCTCCTGTGGCTGGGTGGCCACGCCCACGCCTCCTGTGGCTGGGTGCCCACGCCCACACCTCCTGTGACTGGGTGCCCACGCCCACACACCTCCTGTGGCTGGGTGCCCACGCCCACACACCTCCTGTGGCTGGGTGCCCACGCCCACACACCTCCTGTGGCTGGGTGCCCACGCCCACACACCTCCTGTGACTGGGTGCCCACGCTTCCTGTGGCTGGGTGTCCACGCCCACACACCTCCTGTGACTGGGTGCCCACGCCGACACCTCCTGTGGCTGGGTGCCCACGCCCACACACCTCCTGTGGCTGGGTGCCCACGCCCACACACCTCCTGTGGCTGGGTGCCCACGCCTCCTGTGGCTGGGTGCCCACGCCCACACACCTCCTGTGGCTGGGTGCCCACACCCACACCTCCTGTGACTGGGTGCCCACGCCCACATACCTCCTGTGGCTGGGTGCCCACGCCTACACCTCCTGTGGCTGGGTGCCCACGCCCACACACCTCCTGTGGCTGGGTGCCCACGCCTACACCTCCTGTGACTGGGTGCCCACGCCCACACACCTCCTGTGGCTGGGTGCCCACGCCCACACCTCCTGTGCCTGGGTGCCCACGCCCACACATCTCCTGTGGCTGGGTGCCCACGCCCACACCTCCTGTGGCTGGGTGCCCACGCCCACACACCTCCTGTGGCTGGGTGCCCATGCCCACACACCTCCTGTGGCTGGGTGCCCACGCCCACACACCTCCTGTGGCTGGGTGCCCACGCCCACACACCTCCTGTGGCTGGGTGCCCACGCCCACACACCTCCTGTGGCTGGGTGCCCACGCCCACACACCTCCTACCGCGACTAGCATTACCGCGCCTACACGCACACGCGCCATGCTGCATACTGTTACTTATACTCACTTAATATCTAAGTATAACCAGATGAACAGCTGCAGTTGGACAAACCAAGCTTAGATGGCCGCCTTCCGACTGGTCTGCAATCCCATGCCAGAGGAACCAACATTGCAAGGCGGAAGGCCTTTGTTTGTAAATGCAAGAAGGGATGATTTAGATGTGAAAGATGGCTTCTCCCACTTCCAGAAACGTAGTAAAAAGTCTGGATGGCTTTGGTCGTCATGCATATGCTGCGGGCTCATCTCTGGCACTGTGCAAGGAGAGCTTCTGGCACCTCGTTCTTCCCCTCCTGAACACCACCTACTTGGTGCCATCTTCGCCAACACAACAGCCTCGAGTCAGTTGGTTTCCTTTTTACTTCTGTTTAGAAATTCCGTTCTGATCCGAGTGTCTCCTTGTGAACTCCTTTTCTGAGTGAAGTTTAGGACGATGGTTGAGTGTAATTGTTGGGTGGAAGTGGGTGGTCAGGCGGGGAGGCGGGTAGTGGCGGCGGGGGCCTGAGAGGCGCCGCGAGACCTCAGACCCTCTGTGGCCACCACACCGGCCGCAACCTTCGGCCGCTGCTCCTTCTGCATCCCTCCCGCGTGACACCTTCTCTTTATGACAGTGACAGTGCCTCTCAGTGACATATGACAGAGCGATAGTTAGCGCAGAGTAAAGATGGCAAGGATGGTGGGGGTGTTGGTAGGGGTGGTGTTAGTGGCTGGGGCAGTAGCCAAGCCTGAAGGATTCTCCGGATACGAGGTCAATCGCCAGGCGCCTCCGGGAGGGTAAGTCTTGGAGTCTTGTGCATGACAGCCCTAAGGGCTCTCTAACTAGTAGGTTTACTAACAACAAATTAGTGAATATATTGTAATAAGGTTGTTAAGAGCCTTTCATAAAGTCTGATGAGACTGTAGCTGCATTTGGGTGAAACGCAATCTAAAATCCTACGATAAATATACTGTATAATGTGTTACCAGACTATTGTCAATTTGACAGAGGTTTATTATGTTTATGTGATGGTTGGGAAGAATACCTTGATACTGAAGGTATCAAGTGTTGAACGTGTAGGGAAGAAGACCTGGCCGGTCCACGCCTCCGGCTGGCGATGGAGGTCGGTGTCTGTGTCAGCTCTTGTCACAATTATCTTCATGCGTATAACATACTCTTAAATAACTCGCACATAAAAGTTTATAATATAAACTATTTCATCATATTTGAAATATACGTGCAATATTTCGTGTGTTGGGATGTAATGTGTGTGAGTACACTGGTGTCTTAAGGGTTAAGGGAGGCGTGTAGTGGCCGCAGACTTAACCTACTCGCCAGTCACCCTGCTATGGACCAAATTAACAATCTATATCAATAAGAACGAATGTCAATATTTGTCTGTACAAGGTTGGAGGCCAAATATTTGGGGTTAGCCTCACCCAACCTTGCAGGGAAAATGGCCAGGGGTACGGGATGGACATAGGTTAGTTGGGCTCTTCCCAAGGGTCCCGGTAGTACAGTCGGAGGGTCCCCGGAATACAGTTCGGGTTCGTTTTCGACGCACAATCAAGAATTCCGGGTTAGAATCCCGGGCGGGACAGAAATGGTTGGGCACATTTCCTTTCACGTATTGCCATGTTCATTTCGCAGGTGGTACTGAGGAGTTAGTCAGCTTGTTGGGTTGCATCCTGGGCGAGGTCAGTAATACGACCTGGGGGGGGGGGCTCGATATAAACCTAACGTATAGGAATACACTGGCTTCCTGAACCCCCAACACAGTGAATTATAATTATAAATAAGAAATAGCATTTATAGAGACCTCCCGTCTCCATGTAATTTTCGTAAAGTCAAGTGTGAAATATTTGGTGTGATTCCTATAAGGTTTTTCAGTGCTTCCTAATAAAACAAATGGGGACCGAGGAGAGGGGAGGGAGGGAGGAAATTATCAGGAGAAGCGCCAAGCCATTATGACTATATAGCACTGGGAAGGGTTCAGGATAAGGATTTGGGATGGGACGGGGGAAAGAATGGTGCCCAACCACTTGGACGGTCGGGGATTGAACGCCGACCTGCTTGAAGCTAGAGCGTCGCCCTACCGTCCAGAGGGGGGAATGATCCGGATGATATTCGAAAGGAAAGAAACAAAACAACGACTCATCACCACAAACAAGACCATTCACCACAAACAAAACTCTTCACCACAGACACAAGTAACGCTAGTCTGGAAGCCTCAGACACGAGACTCTGGGTGGTAACACTGGTCTGGAACCCTCACCACAGACTCTGAGTGGTGATGCTGATCTGGGAGCCTCACCAGACTCAAAAGACTCTGGGTGGTGATGCTGGTCTGGGAGCCTCACCACAGACACAAGCGACTCGACCACAAGTCCTCGTATCATCTTGCTACCTTATCGCGAAACTGAATACTGTAAGACGGCTTTTATCGCCGAGCTCGCTCTTTACTTTTTTCCAGGATCAAATCTCCAAGTGGTTGTAATTTTCGTTTCTCCAATTGTAATTTGTTTTAATTAATGTGTAATACATTTAAGGTGTCAACTCTAAACACAATGCTCACTTTCTTTCCCCGTCTTAGGTTCTCTTTCTCTCTCCCTTATTCTAGCTCTCTTTTTTCACCCTTATTCTCTCTTGTATTCTTCGGCCCTCACCTATCTCAATAGAGCTCTTTCTCTGGTAAATAACAAACAGCCCGCCCCCCTCCCGGGAGGCTTGGTCGAGGACCGGGCCTTGGAGACGTTGAGGCCCGAAATCATTCTAAGTTTCCCTACCCCTACCCCCTGTCACTTGGGCTGGACGGCAGCGCGACGGTCTCGCGACATGCAGGTCCTCGTTCAATCCCCGACCGTCCAAGTTTTTTTTTTATCTACCACAGACGTGGCCACACATTTACAATGATAACAAGCATATATACATTTTATTCTATCCTCCATGGACAGGATTAGAGATCTGTTAAACATATAATTCAGTGATTTGTTGAATAATCAATCGTCCAAGTAGTTGGGCAGTATTCCTCCCCCCCCTCTGCCGTCCCATCCAAAATCCTTATCCTGATCCCTTCCAAGTGCTATATAGTTGTAATTGCTTGGCCCTCGCTCCTGATAATTATTTTACCTTACCCACCCCCTCTATTCCCATTCCAACCCTTTACTAGTTGGAACTGGCATCCTTTTCCAGTCATTCTGCACCACTCAACCACTAGCGGGTCCTCCTGGACAGTCACTAGCAGGTCCTCCTGGACAGTCACTAGCAGGTCCTCCTGGACAGTCACTAGCAGGTCCTCTTGGACAGTCACTAGCAGGTCCTTCTGGACAGTCACTAGCAGGTCCTCCTGGACAGTCACTAGCAGGTCCTCCTGGACAGTCACTAGCAGGTCCTCCTGGACAGTCACTAGCAGGTCCTCCTGGACAGTCACTAGCAGGTCCTCCTGGACAGTCACTAGCAGGTCCTCCTGGACAGTCACTAGCAGGTCCTCCTGGACAGTCACTTGCAGGTCCTCCTGGACAGTCACTTGCAGGTCCTGAAAAGTCACTAGCAGGTCCTCCTGGACAGTCACTTGCAGGTCCTCCTGGACAGTCACTTGCAGGTCCTGAAAAGTCACTAGCAGGTCCTCCTGGACAGTCACTTGCAGGTCCTCCTGGACAGTCACTTGCAGGTCCTGAAAAGTCACTAGCAGGTCCTCATGGACAGTCACTTGCAGGTCCTGAAAAGTCACTAGCAGGTCCTCCTGGAAACTCACGTGCAGGTCCTGAAAAGTCACAATGTAACAACCTGGAAAGTCCTCCCTCCCCCTTTCTCCTCCCTCCCACCTCTCTCTCCTCCCTCTCTTTCTCCTTCCCATTTTCTCACCCTCCTAATGCTCCCTCCCCTCCTTGAGATGAGTAAGAGGTCAGGAGTTGACTTCATCCTCCATTAATTAAGAGACATGTCAAACAACTTTTAATAGGAAAATTCCTCTAGGATGCTGTTTTACATCAAGTAAATGGGGTAGATAAGAGTGTTTGTCAAGCAATTACTTATGAGATAGTTGGGATAGCTTTTGTCAAGCAGCTCTAATTAAATATTGTTATAAAATGCAGAGTGTGAGGTTGTCAAGAGGCACGTGGGTCAAGACTTCAGCTGGTAGGTGGCAACAAACTTCTCCCCCCACAAGCTGACATTAGCTGGGGTAGTTTTGGGGTGTATATATACCCTGGGGTATGGGGACAGAATTCAGAGTACCTGGAGAGAAAGACTGGGGCTGGGCTAGTGTTATCAGAGCCAGGTGGGAGACTCCAGCCATGAGAGGCCGTGGTTCCAAGGTAATGTGTGATATATCTGATGTATTCTCCATTTCTAAATTACTTAATCTTTGCCGGTGGAGAATAGTAACTTAGGAATTTGCCAGTGTAGGTGAATTTGTGGTGAATATCATAATTTTGGATTAAATAAAATATTATATATTTACATCCTTATGTGTCACTAGTTTCCCCTTCATATCCTGTGCATGCCATCAAGGACGTTCAACCTCCCAAATTCTCCAGAATTAAATTGTTAAACATAACTGTCAGTAAGTAATTACATCAAAAGAAGAAATCTTTCAGCAGTAATTAAAGTCAAAAGGGCGCGACGGTTTACCCCATGAACCACTGGTGGAGTCTCTTATTAGTAAGTAACAATACTTTTGTAGTAACTAAATGTGTAATGGGGTGGTGGCAAGCGGTGTTTCTCCTTTGAATTGAGATTAAGCATTCCCATGAACGTACCATTGGTTCAGTGCGAGACTAGTATGTAGTACCAGGTTACACTCTACTGTAAATGTTGTTTAGACTTTTTACCGAAATATATTTAGGAGCACCAGTGTGTAAGCTTACAGAGGGAGAGTGGTATCAGGAAGGGGTTACACTGGTAGGTGGTGTTACAACGAGCAGGTCCTCCTGGACAGTCACTAGCAGGTCCTCCTGGACAGTCACTAGCAGGTCCTCCTGGACAGTCACTAGTAGGTCCTGGACAGTCACTAGCAGGTCCTCCTGGACAGTCACTAGCAGGTCCTCCTGGACAGTCACTAGCAGGTCCTCCTGGACAGTCACTAGCAGGTCCTCCTGGACAGTCACTAGCAGGTCCTCCTGGACAGTCACTAGCAGGTCCTCCTGGACAGTCACTAGTAGGTCCTGGACAGTCACTAGCAGGTCCTCCTGGACAGTCACTAGCAGGTCCTCCTGGACAGTCACTAGCAGGTCCTCCTGGACAGTCACTAGCAGGTCCTCCTGGACAGTCACTAGCAGGTCCTCCTGGACAGTCACTAGTAGGTCCTGGACAGTCACTAGCAGGTCCTCCTGGACAGTCACTAGCAGGTCCTCCTGGACAGTCACTAGCAGGTCCTCCTGGACAGTCACTAGCAGGTCCTCCTGGACAGTCACTAGCAGGTCCTCCTGGACAGTCACTAGCAGGTCCTCTTGGACAGTCACTAGTAGGTCCTGGACAGTCACTAGCAGGTCCTCCTGGACAGTCACTAGCAGGTCCTCCTGGACAGTCACTAGCAGATCTTCCTGGACAGTCACTAGCAGGTCCTCCTGGACAGTCACTAGCAGATCTTCCTGGACAGTCACTAGTAGGTCCTCCTGGACAGTCACTAGCAGGTCCTCCTGGACAGTCACTAGCAGGTCCTCCTGGACAGTCACTAGCAGATCTTCCTGGACAGTCACTAGCAGGTCCTCCTGGACAGTCACTAGCAGGTCCTCCTGGACAGTAACTAGGAAGTCTTCCTGGACAGTCACTAGCAGATCTTCCTGGACAGTCACTA